GGTGCGGGTGAGGGTTTAGGGGAGTGGTGAGGGGATCAGGGAGGTGCAGGTGAGGGTTTAGGGGAGTGGTGAGGGGATTAGGGAGGTCCGGATGAGGGTTTAGGGGAGTGATGAGGGGATCAGGGAGGTGCGGGTGAGGGAGTGGCATACTGAACATCCACACGTTCATTATCTCTCTCCTTTAATAGTTTTTTCTGATGTGTTTGGTTGTGCAGGAAGGACCAGAACATTCTGTCTCCAGTGAACTGTTGGTATTTGCTGCTGAACCAGGTGCGGAGGGAGAGCAAGGATCACACCACACTGAGCGATATCTATCTCAACAACATCATCCCACGCTTCGCTCAAGTCAGTGATGACTCTGTCCGCCTCTTCAAGAAGGTAAGGAGCTTCCTACTGACCTTGACGTTCCTTGGACTGTGAGATCCCGATCCTCACCATCCCCCCTTGATTTCACAGATAACCAGAACAGAGTGGGAAATCTGTAAGTCCTTTTTCTGCCCAGGACACAGTTTAAACAGGGTGTTGTGTGAATGTGAAATATAAGGGTGGCATTGGCCATGGGAAATGCAGAGTTATGGGGATAGGGTAAGGGGCTTGGTGTAGGGGGGTGGTTACTGTTTGGAGTGTCAGTGTGGATTCAGTGGGCCAATTGGCCTGTTTCCACACTGTAGGGATTCTATAATACTGTTTCCAGGATTGGAGTTTGTGTTTAAATTAGATTATTGAAAGAATTTAATTCTTATTGTTAATTCTTGCAATGTGAGCATCATTTGCCAGGCCTGTGTTTATTGCCCATCCCTAATTGCCCAGTATTATTTTTCTGTCCCTCACTCTTTCTCATGCCTGCTTCATGTGAGGAGAGTTGGAAGAGGGCTATTAAATGTCCCTGTGTTTTCCAGCTGTAGAGAGTACAAAGAAAGTACTTTGCAGTTTTTTTTTCTTTACCTCTGCCTCGTCTGGGTTAAAGTTCGAAGGTTCTGGCATCTCTCCACGACCCCACCCTGTAACTTAGCTGTCACATGTCACCTTAAACAGTGAGGGCCTGCGAGTTCACAATTAAATGGAAAACAGCCCTTCAGCTGACCCCCACTCCCCAGGAAGAGGTCACTGCAAATGATCAGGATTGGGAATTCGAGCTGATATTTTATGCTTCATCTCCCTTAGCTTCAGCCAGAGGCAACTCCCTTCATCTGACCACCCCCAGTCTGAGGGAGGTCAGATAACACCGCACAAAGCATGGGTTCAATCTGATGTTCTTCACTGTACGTGGCTCACTGCCAGTTCACGTATCCACTGAGCTGTTGTTGTGTGGAGACCATGTCTGTTAGTTGTGAGAAATGATGTGAAGGAGCAATGTGTGGTCGCTGGCAATGACGGCAGATTGCTGTCGGGAGCTCCACGTGGATTACATGCTTGTGGTGCACACGTTTCAGCTTCAGGGATCAGCCTGAAATTGGAAGTGACTTCTGGATGAGGGTGGGACTGCTGAGGCCAAGCTCCTGGCAGCACAACTCTGTAATCATCTGCAAGTGGTTTGAGGAGCTGGAATTGTTGACTATGCTATGAATAAAACACGAGTAAATTCATCATTGGAGGGATAGTAGATTGAATCAACAGTGGAAATTTAAAATGTTCCTTCACCCCCACACCCTGCTTACTGTCCAATGAAAGCCCAAGGCCTGGACATACCTGGAGGCTATGCTTCCAAGTGGACCCTGTTCCCAAACCCAAGGCAAGCAGCTATTTCCCTGGCTTTGAGATATCTGCCCTTGCAAACCAGAATTAAGAGAGCTACTGAACCTAGGAGGCTGAAGTTTGCTTTCAAAAATTCTTTACCTCAGCAAGACAATTGGTTACCTCGAGATTTGGTTACTTTCCACCAATAAATCATTTTGATGTTTACGAGTTCAGAAGGGTCCCATGAATCAGATCTCAGCGTGTGTGTGTGTGTGAGTGAGATAGTGTGTGTGTGTGTGTGCACCTACGTGAGTGTGTGGGTGTGTGTATGTTTGCGTGTGCACGCGGGCGCCTATGCGTGTGTGCTCGTGTGCGTGTGTGATCAAATATTTGTCATTACGACAATTCGAGGTTCAGGACTGTAATGGGGAATGGCAATCTCCACAATAAAAGCAAAATGCTGTAGATGCTGGAAATCTGAAACCAACAGAGAAAATGCTGGTGGCATCTGCGGAGAAACAGAATTCATGTGTTCTGAAGAGAATTGATGCTGGACTTGAAATATTAACCCAGCCTTTTCTGTGGCTGCGCCTATAAGCAGTATGAAGCACTAATATTTGTCACTTGTGCAGTCTTTCCCCTAGGCAAGGACAGCAGAGAGAATGATGATTATTGAGGATACCTGAAATGCTCATATTTTGTTCAGTCTTTAGGAATTGTCAATTTCCTTACAGTTCTCAATCCCAACTTGCCCAATATCAGTTTCTGCATGCCAAACCACCAATGTGTGCTACACTGTAGGAATGGAGAAGGCCATTCAGCCCCTCTAGCCTGTTCTGCCAATCAGTGAGATCATGGCTGATCTGTGGCTAACCCCATAAGGCTGCCTTTGACCCATATCCCTGAATATCATTGCTTAACAAAAATTTATCTGTCTCCGATTTAAAATGAACAACTCCAGCATCCATTGTCATTTGTGGAAGAGCATTCCAAACCTCCACCACACTTTGTAGAAGTGCTTCCAAACATCTCTCCTGAATTCTCTGGCCCTTTTCCCCTCATTCTAGGATATCAAACCAGTGGAACTAGTTTATCTTAGCTACCTCGTCTTTTCTAACTTCTAGAGAAAACAGGTCTAATTTGTCTAATCTCTTCATAATCCCTAAAGTCTGAGTATCATCCTTGTAAACCTGTTTTGAATTTCCTCCAGAGCCAAAAGCATCCTTCCTAAGGTGTGGTGCCCAGATATGCTCACAGTGCTCCAAGTGGGGTCTAACGAGGGTTTTGTATAACTGCAGCACATTGTCCACATTCTTACACTCCAGCTCTTCAGATATGAAAGCCAGCATCCCATTAGCCTTCTTAAATATTCTCTACACCACTTCATGGTATTTAAAGAGCTAGGCCCCTGAACCCCACAAATCTCATTGGACATCCACTGTATTTAACTTTGTGTCTTCCAAAAAATACCCTGATAGATCCATTTTCAGTTCAAAACGTATAACCTCACGCATGCTTTTATTAAAATCCATCTGCCACAGCTTTGCCCGTTCACCTAATCTATCAATATCTTGTTGTAATTTTATGCTGTTGCATAATACTTCCCAATTTTGTGTTATCAGCAAATTTGGGATATTTTACTTTTTATGCCATTATCCAAGTCATTAATGGATATGGTGAATAATTGAGGCCCCAACACCGACACCACTAGTCACATCCTGCCAATTTGATTACTTACCCATTATTCCAACTCAGTTTCCTGCCACTCAACAAATTTCTTATCTATGTCAGTAATTTCCTCACAATCCCATGAGCTTCCACTTTAGCTAACAGTCTTTTATATGGGACTTTATCAACAGCCTCCTGGAAGTCTGTATAAACAACATCCATCTATTTATCTCTGTCCACTATCTTTGTCACCTCTTCAAAAAACTCTGATGAGGTTTGTCAGACATGACCTATCCTTCATGAATCCAGGCTGACTGTCCCTGATTAATTGAAATTTTTTGAAGTGATCAGTTACTCTGTCCTTGATCATAGACTCCCAACAATTTTCCCACCACAGACGTTAGGCTAACTGCTCTGGAATTCCCTGGATTCCCTCTGTCACCCTTCTTAAAGGGGCAAAGTGACATGGGCAAAGTGACATGAGCAAATTTCTAGTCCAGAGGTACAGTTCCTGAATCCAGGAAATTCTGAAACAATTTTGACTGGGACATTGACACCCATGGATAGAAACCATCAGGTCCAGGGATTTGTTACTTTTCAGTTCCATTAATTTCCCCATTATTGATGATTTACTTAAGCTAATTTTATTTAGACCCTGTTCCTGTACCTCTGTTAATTTCTTTGGGACTTCTGCAAGCTATCCTCCTTTTCTGCTGTGAACACTGAAGCAAAATAATTGTTTAGCAATTCCCCATGGTCACGGACAATATCCCCACTCTCAGCCTTCAGTGGGCCAATGTACTCTTAAACAGCCACTTTTCCTTTACATTACTATAAAATTTGTTTTTATTGTCTTTTACATCCGCTGCAAATTTCCTTTCATAATCCTTTTTAGCCACTTGTATAAGCTTCTCTGTGGCCTTTGTTGGTCTTTATATTGTTCCATTCTGTTGGATCCGATCTTTGTCTGATTGTCAGCAGATCAGAGAGATCCATGTTCATCCTTCAGCTGCTGTTTTTCTCAAACTATTGAAATATCTGCTTGAAGTGTGTAATTCTGTCTTGAATGTTACTGTCCACTCAACCAGCCCCAAGTCAGAGACAGTAGTCAGTTTCAGGAAAAAAGAACAAATCAATTATAAAGCTGACCAAGCTTTGACCTTGGCAAATAGACCTCCTTATCAGTTGATAATTTGCGTTCTGCAGTGCCTGTGACTCTGCATTAGGAAAATCCTCCCATAGGCAGTTTGATACCTGCCATAGTGAGCTATGCATTGAGTGTTAAATGAAGGGAGGCTCTACACTGGCTTCCTAGAGCTTCAAACCATTCACACTGAAACCTGAGGCTTTGATTTGTTAAACAACCCCTCAACTCTTTAAACAAATAGGTTGCATTTATAAAATTGTTGAAACATCTCCATTAATTACATTGAAACCATTTTATGCATGATCCACCAGCAGAAATGTGATGATAATCAGACAATCTAAATTTCAGACTTGGGTGGAATGTTTGCAAATTGCAATGAAGTAAATTATAGTATATTATGCTGAAACAGCCTGCTTCATTTCACTGGAGCTCTTGCTGCGAGGATATGTGAGCGGCTCTGACCTTGAGTCTTCTATCTCAAACTGCCTCTGGCCTGTGTCCTACTCAAAGCTACAACAGTTTTTCCTGAGAAATAAGAACTTTTGAACATGTGGATGCATTGATTATTCACAAAAACATTGTAAGGTGAAGTTGTCTAATTTTCTGATTGTAAAAGGGGAAGCTCAGAACAAGGAATAGCTGACTCCTGGTTATCCAGGTACCTTCAGGCTGAACTCCCAGCTTCCAGCCTATGTTATTTTTGTTTTACAAATGCAGCCCTTGTATTTCTTGGGAAATGGTGTCCATTTTGAAACCTGTTGATGTTGGGAGCAGATCAAACACGGTAGCCCTTATGAACGTGGAGCTAGGGCTGTGTCCATGGGATTGTGCAATGGCTTGGTACACAGACCTTTGCAATATCATAGAGGTTTACACAAGTTTCAGTTGTTCCCGTCCAGTTTGATGGAGTTGACTATCTCTGAATGCTTGTTGGACATTTATTCGCAATGAGTTTGGGGCAGTTTCATCCGTGTCCCCACAGGCAGAGCTGAAAGAGAATGAGAGGAAGCTGAAGCTGACAGTAGAGCCGGAAGAGTGTGGTTGGCTTTGGGATAAAGTTGAGGGAACCTTACTGTGCTTTCCTATTGCTGTATTTCTAGTACAAGAATGTGTCTGCAGCATGAAATCTCCAGCACAATGATACCTGAAGTGAATAAAAAATGAAGTGGTATCGCTGGAGCTGAACTGTGGTATTGTGAATTCCTCTTCAGTCTCACTTGGGCTCCACTCTCCCACACACAGAAGATCATAAGACATAGGAGCAGAAACAGGCCATTCAGCCCATAGAGTTTGGTCTGCCATTTAACAAGATCACAGCTGACCTGATAATCCTCAACTCCACTTTCCTGCCTTTTCCCCAGAACCCTTGATTCCTTTAGTGATTAAAAATGTCTATCTCCGCCTTCAATGTACTTAATGACCCAGTCTTGACAACTCCCTGCAGTAAAGAATTCCACAGATTCACTACCCTCTGAAAGAAGGGATTCTTACTCATCTCTTTCTTAAAAGCATGACCCCTTATTCTAAGATTATACCGTCTGATCCTAGAGTCTTCCATAAGGATGACATTTTGTGTCATTCTCACTACTTGCCTTCCTGCCTATTATTGTACATTCACTTTTCTCATCAAAATCATTCATATATATTGTAAATATTTCCAGCTCTAGGAGTGATCCCTGTTGCAACGCACTAGCTACAGATTGCCGTCTTGAAAATCAAGATTTTGAAGGGAGATTTTTAAACGGTGATCCTAAGTTCTTTCATTCCCATAAGAGGTAACAACTTCTCCACATCTACTCGGTCAAGACCACTGAGGGTCTTAAATGATCCAGTCAAGTCGAATCCCGCCATGGCAGAGGTGGAATTTGAATTCAATAAATACGTGGAATTTAGAGTATAATGATGACCATGAATCCATTGCCGATTGTCAGAAAAACCCATCTGTTTCACTAATGTCCTTTAGGGAAGGAAACTGCCATCCTTACCTGGTCTGGTCTGCATGTGACTCCAGACCCACAGCAATGCGGTTGCCTCTTAACTGCCCTCTGGGTAATTAGGGATGGCCAATAAATGCTGCCTGGCCATTATCCCCTCATCCCGTGAATGAATTGAACAAAAAAAATCAAGTCACCTCTGACTCTTCGAAACTCCAGAAGATACAAGCCCATCTGCCCATCCTTTCCCTCATTATACAACCCACCCATTCCAGGGATTAGTTTGGGAAACCATCTTGGAACTGCTTCCAACGCATTTATAGAATCATAGAATCCCTACAGTGTGAAAGCAGGCCATTCAGCGCATCGACTCCACACTGACTCTCCGAAGAGCATCCCACCTGGGCCCACTCCCCTACCCTATCCTTATAACCCTGTATTCCCCATAGCCAATCCACCTAACCTGCACATCTTTGGACTGTGGGAGGAAACCAGAGCACCCAGAGGAAGCCCACAGGGAGAATGTGTAAACTCCACACAGCCAGCTACCCAAGGGTGGAATCGAACCCAGGTCCCACGTACTGTGAGCCACTCTGCTACCCATATATTCTGCCTTTAATAAGGACAGCAATACAGTAGTTGTTTGGTAGGACAGAACTTGAATATTGCTGAAAAAAGTGCATTTTGATGAAACTTTTAGTCTTACACCGATCAGGATAATTTGCAAGACTATCAATTCAAGTGGAAAAACAATGTTTATACTGCATGAGAGATCAAAGCTGGTTGACAAGTCACCGAAAATGAACAATGTCACATTTTCCCATGTTACACTCCACTTGCACATCTTTGCCCACTCACTTAGCCTGGCCATGTCTCTTTGTAGCCTTATTATGTCCTCTTCACAACTTACTTTCCTCCCTATCCTTGTGCGATCACCAAACATAGAACATTTCCCCCATTCAAATTATTTATATAAATTGTGAAAAGCTGAGGCTGCAGGACTGCATCATATCACTTGTTAACCTTTTGATGTGGCACTTTATCAAATATCCATCCACTGGTTCTCCTTTATACAAAGCTCATGTTGTTTCTTCAAAGAACTCTACTAGATTAGTCAAACAGGATTTTCTCTTTCTGAAAATCATGTTGACTCTGCTTGAATACATTGAATTTTCTAAGTGCCCTGCTATAGCATCTTTAATAACAGCTCCACCATTTTCCTCATGACAAATGTTAATAACTGGCCAAGAAAAATTGAAAGAACTGCTAGTGCTGGAAATCAGAAACAAAAGCAAAAACAGAAATTGCTAGAGAAAGTGAGTAGGTCTGGCAGCATCTATGGAAAGAAAGCAGAGTTAACATCCAGTGACCCTACTTCAGAACTGATTGTAGCTAGGAAATGTTTGTATTTATACAACAGATTGGGCTGGGGGAGGGGAGACGGTGAACAATAGGTAGAGATAGAGCCCAAAGAGAGGGAAAAACAGCTGGACAGACAAAAGAATGGGTAAAGAACAGTCTGGGAGAATGAATAGCTGCTAACAGAGGCTATTAGTAGCTGACAATGGGTTGTGTATGGGGATTGGGGTAAGGACATGGCCTCAGGCTCTAAAATTGTTGAATTCGATATTGAGTCCAGAAAGCTGCAGGGTCCCCAAGTGGAAAATGAGGTGCTGTACTTCCAGAGATGATAGGAACTGCAGATGCTGGAGAATCTGAGATAACAAGGTGCAGAGCTGGATGAATACAGCAGGCCAAACAGCATCAGAGGAGCAGGAAAGCTGTACTTCCAGCTTGCACTGAACTTCACTGGAGCACTGCAGCAAGCCTGAGACAGAGATGTTGGTCAGGGAGCACTGTGGTGTGTTTAAGTATCAGACAACTGGAAACTCAGAGCCATTTTTGCAGAGAGAATATAGTTGTTCTGCAAAGTGATCACTCAGTCTGCGCTTTGTTTCTCCAGTGTAGAGCAGACCACGTTGTGAGCAGCACAATAAGTGGTCTGTGGGTTTCTGCTTTTGTCCCTCTGCCTTTTGGAATGAAGGAGTTACGTGCACTATTTTCCCATCTAATGGAACCTTCCTAGAATCTAATGAATTCTAATAAATTAAAAGCAAGTGTTAAGTATCTCACCAGCCACTTCATTAAGACATGAGGATGCTATCCATCAGAATCCAGAGATTTGTCAATTCACAGTTCTAACAATTTGCTCAGTGCACATTGGCTGGTGATTATAAATTTCTTGATTTTGGCTTTCTCCTCCATTCCCTCCATTCTCCAACTCCAGCCTCAGAATTATGTCTGGGATGTTACTTATTTCTCTGTAGTGAAAATTGATGCAAAATAACTGTTCGATTCAACTGCCTCATCCTTCTTTTTCATTATTAATTCTCCGTCCTCACATTTTATAGAACCAACACTAACTCCTTTCTCTTGTAAATATTAATAGGAACTCTTACTCATACTAATTCAGCACTAATTCTGGGAAATCAATATGAAGACTAAGTGGATTTTTCATATTTATTTTGAACTTTAAACCACATTATGACACTCTTCAGCAGGAGGAACCAGAGCTCAGTTTCTGTTTTACTATTAAGTAACAACACATTTTGGAGAAATTAGTTTGGTTTTAGCTCTTAGCCATCTAATTTTAGAAACAATTTTAAATCTGTTTGTCTTGCGCACTCTATATCACACTCTGTTTATCCCTCTCACTCTCTACTGAAATCTCCCCCTCTGGCTCATATCTTGGCCTTTGTTACCTTTTTTGCTATCTCTCTCTCCCAATTGGATGAAATCAACCCTGCATTTACACTATCAGTCCAAAATGTAAGAAGATATTATTTGTAATGTTTCATTCACCACAGATGCTATGAGGTTCCAGCATTTTGTATTTTTATTTCAGATGTTCTGCATCTGAAGCATGTTGTTCTTTGTTTTAATGCCTGAAAAATCTTTGCAAGTTTCATGCAGTTCACAGAACCACAGAATTGTTACTGTGCAGGAAGAGGCTATTCAATCCATCATGCCTGCACTGATTCTATTCCCTCGTGCAAATCTCCTGCCTTTTCTCCAAATCCCTGAATGCTCTTTGTATCCAAAGAACCATCCCAGTCCCTCTTGAATACCTCAATTGAGCCTACCCCACCACATTTCTAGATAGTACATTTCATACCCTGAATACTAACTGTCTGAATAAGACACTCCATACTTTAATACCTACCTACCTCACACCCCCTACCTCTCATAATAAGATCCCGTTGTATCTCAGTTTGACCTAGACTTATGCTGGAACATTTTAGAATTAGTGTGAAGTCACTTTATCCCGTGACCAAAAGACAAGAATGCAATCGACAATCGCTTAGCTATGTGTGTGTGACTCATTCGAGCGGCTGAGATTTCCCAAAGAGATACAAGTTTAGGGTATTCTGTGGGAGGTGAGTTTTATCTCAGTGACCTGACCTAAGCTCATTCCAGACCTCCCCAGTTTATGGACCATGATACTGCAATCCTGGAAATCAGTATGGGAATTACTGAACTTTTTATAATGTATAAACCTAAAAGATTGCATAGACTGAGTGATTGTTTGTGAAATAATATCACATCTAGGTAATCCAGGAGGCTATCTGACCGACACAACTAGGATTTGCTTCCTGTGGGGTTCAGTTACTGGTGACAGTCGCTTACACTCCCCACCCTAATACCTACTCCCTTACACTCCCCACCCTAATACCTGCCCACCTTATACACCCCACCCTAATACCTGCCCACCTTACACTCCCCACCCTAATAGCTATCCACTTTACACTCCCCACCCTAATACCCACCCACCTTACACTCCCCACCTTAACACTGACCTATACTACACTGTTTACATTTCCGACAGAAACATTGGGTAGCTTGGACATTGCTTTAACCCAGTTTTCTTCCTGGTTACAGAGTAAGGAGATCGGTGGACAGCTACATGAAGATCTGATGAAAGTTTTGAATGAGTTGTACACGGTGAGTGCGATTTATCTCTTCCCACCTGTTCATAAACAGAAATCCTTCACTGTCTCTGCCACCATAATAACACCATGGCTAAATATAACACTTAGTGTCCTAGCAACCTTCACTTTGCTCATCACGAGATGGTTACGTTGGGGAATACAGGAGTGGGAAGAGGCCTTACAGCATCTGAAACCTGTTCAGTTAGTTGGCTGAATCTGAACTCCAGCTTTTATTTAATTTATTCCTTTGTGGGACATAGGCATCGCTGACTGGGTCAGCATTTATTGCTCACTCTTTGTCGCCCTTGAGAAAGTTACTTGTCTCAATCCTGTAGCCCTTAATACATTTAATTCAACAGAAATCTTTCCATTTCAGTTTTGAAAGTTTCAGTTGACCCCCAGCCTGAACAGTGTTTTAGGGGAATGGCTGTTCCTGGGAGATGCATACTGATGGACATTAGTTCATGACAGATGTGTGTTTGACTGTATTCCCTCCTGTGGGTTTCAGTCGCCTGAAGGAGTGTAAGTGGAATGCAATCAGACAGGGGCTTTTCTGAGTTGTTAAGAAATCTCTTACTGGAAGATGGGTTGGAATCTGTTTATAAAACAGTGATCAGTCTGAGAGCAGCAGTTCAAGTATATGTTCCAGTCTGACTCTTCGTTACAGTCTGGAATTTGAAACATTGACCCTCACAGAGCTGAGGGTAGCTAGGGGAAGTACGGGTATCCCAGCAGTTACAGATTCCTGTATTCAGGGAACAAGGAGGAGAATGTCCCTGCCCAGTCCCAAACATTTAAATTGTCAGGTGGGTTTAACAAAAGTGTCTTCAATGGTCAGTAAATGCCCTGGGGTTTGACACTAACCAACACGCTGTGGGGAACCTCGCCAAAGAATCCAACTTTGCTTCTTTCTCCAGTTTGGAACTTCCAATCCAGGTGGAGTGTGAACTTGCAGTTCAAACATTCTGGGCTATTGATGTTGGTGGAAAGTGAACAAACAGACATTTTGTGTCGATTGAGGTCTGCCCACCATTTCCAACATCAATCCCTAATGTTTACAAAGAGAGAAAATTGGAGTAGCCCATCAAAACTGTTCAACATGATCATGGGTGATCAACACCATCCTCCTGCACTCTCCCAACATCCCTTGACATCTTTAAACTCTAAATATTTGTTTCTGTCTTAAATATGTTCAGCAACTTTGCCCCTGAGCCTTTGTGTAGAGAAGTCCACAGGGTCACAACCCTCTGAATGAAGATATTTCTCCTCACCTCAGTCTGAGATGGACACCCCTGTTTTCTGAGGCTAACACCACCGCCCCCTGCTTTGTTCTGGAACCCCTGGCCAGGTGGAACATCATCCCTGTATCTAGTCTGTCCAGCACTGTTAGAGTTTCAATGAGATCCCCTCTCATACTTCACAACTCCAGGGAATATAGACCCAGTCAAAATAATCTCTCTCATAGGACAGTCCAGGGAATCAGTCTGGTGAATCTCTGCTGCACTCTTTCTATGACAAGTCTATCTTTTCTTAGGTAGGGAAGCCAGAACTGCACACACAACTCGAGGTGAGGTCTCATCAAGGCCCCGTACAGTGACCATAAGACTTCCTCATTCCTATACTCAAACCCTCTTGTAATAAAAGGCAACATGTCGTATGCTTTCCGAACTGCTTGCTGCAGCCAGGTGCTTACTTCCAATGGCCAGCACACAAGGACATCCACATCCTTTTATACATCAGCCTTCCTCAATCTATCACTGTTTAAACAGTATTCTACCTTTATGTTTTTCCTACTAAGTGGACAACTTCACATTTATCCATGTTATATTGCAATTGCCCTGTATTTGGCCACTCATTCAACTTGTCTAAATCACCCTGAAACCTCTTTTCATTCCCCTCACCACTCACACTTCTATCTAGTTTTGTGCCATCAGCAAACTTGGAAATATTTCACATCATTCCCTCATTCAGATTATCAATATACATGGTGAGAAGCTGGAGCCCAGGCACTGATCCCTGTGATAGCGCATCTCACATTGCCTTGCACTCTGAAAAGGCCCCATTTATTCGAACTCTCTGTTTCCTGTCTGCTAACTAATTCTCAATCCATGTCAGTATATTAACCCTGTACGCTTTGATTTTGCGCACTACCCTCATAAGTGGAACTTTATCAAAAGTTTTCTGAAAAATCCAAATACATCATATCCACTGGTTTTCCCTCATCTATTCTATTAGACACATACTCAAAAAAAAACTATAGTGGGTTTGTCAAACATGCTTTTCCTATCATATTTCCCATTTGTGTAATCCTGGTGGTACCTTTGAAGTACCTTGTCTCACCCTTTGTAGTAGACTCCAGCATTTTCCCTTTTGCTGATATTAGAATAGAATAGGATATTCTTTATTGTCATGTGTACTGCAGTACAGAATTACAGGCATACAGTAAAAAGTTTTACAATGTTGCCTCTTATGGCACCATCTTTGGTACAAGTACCTGGGTACAGGTCTTGGATACAAAAGAGGAATGATAAAAGAAAAGTGGTTGCATTCCTTTTCAGTGTATAAACAGTAAGTTAGAAATAAGACTTAGTTGAAGAATTGACTTCACAGTCAGATAAAAAAAATCAAATAAACATGACATTGCAGTAGCTCAGAGAGGGACTTCCACACGTGGTCTGGCCACCTGTGTCCTCCAGCTAACCAGCCTGTAATTCCTGGTTTTCTCCCTCCCTCTTTTTTTTTTAAAACAGTTTGCCACCCTCTAATCTGCTGGGACTGTTTCAGAATCTATGGACTTTTGAAAGATGACACCAACGTTTCCAGTGTTCCCATGGCCACCCCCTTTAGTACGCTGGGACGTAGATTATCAGGCCCTGGGGATTTATCAGCTTTCAATTCAATGATTTTCGACAACACAATTTTTTTTTTACTAATTTCCTTCAATTCCTTTCCCAAAAGACCCTTGCTTCCCTGGCAATTCTGGAAAGTTACTTTTGTTGTCTTCTGGAAGACTGAACCAAAGTTTTTTTTTAACTATTCTGCCGTTTCCCTCTTCTCTGTTATCATTTCTCCCATTTCAGTCTGTAAGGGGACTACATTTGTCTTCACAAACCTTTTCCTTTTCACATCCATATAGAGACTCTTGGATTCCACTTTTCTGTTCCTTCACATTTACTGTCAAAAGCAATGTGGTTGACTCTTAACTAACCTCTGTACAATTGAGATGGGCAGTAAATGCAGACCTAGCCACTGATGCCCTCATCTCATGAACAATTTGTTTAAAAAACAGAGAATGAAGCTCCTCCCACCTTTGAGAAATTTTCGTTCCAACAGAACTGAGCCACAGCACCTGACAAGAAAGAAGGTCATTTTGAGATCTCCAGCTTAGGCAGTTATTTAGACTGGTCATTAGTTTCTGATCATGCCTTAATCAGGTAGTGGTGTGTAGGAAGTGGCTGGACAGCAGAAGGCTTTTTATGCATTGCCCACCTAAAAAAAATACGCTTGATTACTACAATCAGAGCAAATGCAGGATAGCAAACAGGAGCTTCCCAATGCCTCGGTGTTGTGCAGTCTCTGAGTCATTTAGTAGAGAGGCAGACAGGATCCGTTTGAAGTTTGAACAAAGAGGTTATAATGTCAAGGCTTCACTCTTTAATGAGGTGTTCGGCAGCAGCTGAAAGGCAGTAGAAAATAAGTCACTCAGCAAGTCTACATCATCCTTGAGGCAGTGACTTTGAGGTTGCATGGTCATGTAATTAATGGCTGCTGTGGAAAGATGACTCCAGACTTAGTCATGAAAGCAGCTAGAGAGTAGATCCAGTTATCTCTGTCAGACTAATAATGGTCTGATAACTCCAAACATGGCCGCCTGTTGGTCACGTAAGCCTCTCCAATGGACTGTTGTGGAGGAGGGGCAGAATTCTCTTTCCAACAACACAAGCAGACCATTCAGTCCGTCATTACACATCGATATTTATTCTTCCCAGGCAAAGTTTTCCCAATCCCTTGTGTCTCCTTCATTTATTCTTCCTTCTAAGTCTGTCTAATCAATGTCTAGATGTTGGCACGACATTGTTAGAATCATGACTTTGCTTTTCACACATTTGTTAATTTACTTCCAGAGTTACACTGCTTTGATCCGGACCCTTCGTCACTGCAAAATATTGTTTCTGTTGATTCTGTCCCGTTCTGTTACAGTTTCAAACAGCCCTATCAGATCACCCTTTAATCTCTGCCGTTCTAATGTAAACAATCCTAATTTAGTGCCACTTTGCTCTCCACTCCCTTCCCCTAACCTTCAACAACCAACTAGTCAATACGGGATACTTATCTTCATTAGCCAGTGTGATGAAGGGTCTAGGCCCGAAACGTCAGCCTCTCTGCTCCTATGATGCTGCTTGGCCTGCTGTGTTCATCCAGCCCTGCACCGTGTTGTCTCGGATTCTCCAGCATCTGCAGTTCCTACTATCTCTGTAGAATTTAGAAGCTTGTTACAATTTCATAAAAATTAGCTGGGCCACAGATGGAATACTGTGTGCAGTTCTGGTCGACACGCCATCAGAAAGATGTGATTACACTGGAGAGGGTGCAGAGGAGATTCACCAGGATGTTGCCTGGGATGAAAAGCCTCAGTTATGAGGAGAGACTGGATAGGCTGGGTTTGTTTTCCTTGGAGCAGTGGAGGCTGAGGGGGGATCTGATTGAGCTATACAACATTATGAGAGGCGTAGACAGAGTAAATCGTGAGAATCTTTTCCCCATGGCAGATATGTGTGAGACCAGAGGGCATATGGTTAAGTTGAGGAGAAAGTGGTTGAGACGAGATTTGAGAAAGAATCTTTTTCATCCAGAGGGTGGTAGAAATATGGAACGTGCTGCCTGAGAGGGTGGTAGAGGCAGGTACTGTGGCAACATTTAGGAAGCATCTGGATGAGCACTTGAAATGCCAGGGCATAGTAGGCTATGGACCAAATGCAGGTAAATGGGATTAGTGTAATTTGGTGTTTGTTG